GTATTCTTACATCACCCTAATATGACATGAAATTCTATGAGGCCTACCATGTCGCTGCTAATGATGAGCAGCAACAAAAATTGACTAGTGACAGCAGGCCTCACGTCGAGGCAGCTGCCTTTCAAGGTCAGGGGGGAGCAACAAGATGAGCGAACTCCGGATGGCCGACCCAAGTGCAGCCACTTCAGTAAACTTGGCCACTTCAGAAGCACGTGTTATGATCTGTATGGTTGGCCGCCCAAGTCCGAGACAAGTCAGGTCGTCTTCGTTGTCATGGTTCATCCCGTCCTTCTCGCACCTAACCTCAAGCACGCACCGAGGCTTCCATCCTAGGCCTTACTACTGAGCAAGTTGCCCAGTTGCGAGCATTCTTGAATTCTGAGCCAGTTGCGGCTCAAGTAGCACCATAGCCTGCTGCCAACATGTCAGGTATGTCTTCCGTCAAATTATCTACAACATGGGTAATTGATTTCGGGTATAACGAACACATTGCTAAAGATAAATGTTTGTTTGATGGCGAGTTGGATACCAACTCGAGTTTACAGGTTCGTATTCCTAATGGAACGGGTATCACCGTTCAGGGCATTGGGAACTCGAAATTGAGTAATGGGTTCATGCTTCACCGTGTTTTGCATGTTCCCAAGTTCCAGTGCAATCTATTATTTGTTAGCCGTCTTACCGTCGATCATGTTGTTGCCATAATTTTCTTGAGTGATTTCTGCGTGCTACATGACTTACGCTCTAGAGCGATGATTGGGATGGGTAGGCGTGTCGAGGGTCTCTATTACTTGCGAGTGTTTGATGGGCGTCATCCAGTGGCATTCAAGGTGCAGCAGGCTATTAGAGACTCTTAGTTGTGGCACTCGAGGCTTAGTCACCCGTCGGCATCAAAGCTTTCAGTTTTACAATCTTATATTTCAAGTACTTTGGTTATCAATAAGGACCCGTGTGTGTCTTGTTTGCGGGACTAAACAAACTCGGTTACCGTTTGTTACTAGTACTGTTAAGACTACGTCATGTTTTTATCTTATTCACATTGATATTTGGGGAGATATCAACCGTCCTCGTTTTCTGGTGCTCATTATTTTCTCACGATCGTGGATGATTTTCGTCGAGTTGTGTGGGTGTATTAGTTGAAGCAGAAATCTGAAGTTGCTCGCTATCTTCTCATGTTTTGTAATCAAGTTCAGACGTATTATGGGAATAGTGTCAGCCGCATCCAGGCCGATAACGGCAGAGAATTTAGTACTCTTGAGCTGCGTGACTTTTATGAACAGAACGACATCGTTCTCTAGACGTCTTGTGTAAACACTCCACATCAAATTGAGTTCGTTGAGCGGAAGCATTGACACCTTCTCGATACCGCACGGGCACTTCGATTTCATGTTGGTCTTCCGATTCACTATTGGGGAGAATGTGTTCTCACAACGGCATACCTCATTAATCGTATGCCACTTGGCACTATTCAGAATCGGACTCCTCACGAAATTTTCTTGGTCACCGTCCGCAATACGCTCACCTGCGAACCTTTGGTTGTCTCTTCTATGCCAAAGACACACGTCCCTGGTCCATCCTCCAGTCCTCACGAGCCCGGCTCCCCTACTCCAACCAGCTCGCCTCCTCCTTCCTTGTCGTCTCCCACTATCTCTCTCAGTCCCAGTACCACTTCGGGGTTAACGAACGATGCTGGTAGTCCCGGGTCCTCACTAGTGTCCTTTGTCGAGCTAGTTTCACGTTATAGTAAGCAAGTCACCCACCCTCCGGTTCATTTTCAAGACTATGACGCAGTCTTGCCTGGCTCACATCCGCATGCGCAACATGCATCCCTTTACCCTCTCAGCAACCATGTCACGTACGAGAGGCTCTCCCTTAATCACCGTGCTTTCGTAGCTCAAGTTTCTGCTACATTCGAACCCAAGTACTTCTTGTAGGCCGTCCATTATGAGCATTGGAGGAAAGCTATGCAAGAATAAATCAATGCTCTCCAGGCCAATGGAACATGGGTGTTGGCACATCCATCGCCCGGCAAACACATCGTCGACTGCAAGTGGGTCTACAAGGTCAAGTTTAAGCCCGATGGCACCGTCGACTAGTATAAAGCTCGTTAAGTGGCTAAAGGCTTCACCCAGATCGAAGGCATCGATTATCACGATACTTTCGCTCCCATTGCCAAGCTTGTCACTGTTCGTTGCTTGATTGTCGTAACCGTTAGTCAGAACTGGTTTCTCTATCAGCTCGACGTCAACAATGCATTCTTGCATGGAGATCTTCAGGAGGAATTCTACATGAGAGTCCCTCAAGGTTTTTCTCAACCCGGTGATTCTAGTGTTTGTCGGTTGCAGAAGTCTCTCTATGGTCTTCGTCAGGCGTCAAGAAATTGGTACCAAATGTTTTTGTGCGCTCCTTGGGTTACGGTTTATCCAGAGTCGGGCTGATCACTCGTTGTTCACCTATCGGTCTGGTTCTAGTTTCGTGGTTGCGCTTATATATGTCGACGATGTCATTCTCGCCGGCAATGATGAGCAGTTTATGCAGCAAGTTAAGGATTTTCTTCATGCTGAGTTCACCATCAAGGATCTGGGTAACTTGAAGTATTTTCTGGGTATCGAAGTTGCCCGTTCTCGTCGAGGTGTTGTGCTAAACCAATGCAAGTATGTCCTGGATATACTCGCTGACTGTGGGCTCGAAAGAACTCGTCCATGTGACACTCCTATCGAGCAGAACCATCAACTTGGTCGCCATCCTTCTCCACCAGCGCATGATCCCTCGAGCTTTCGGCGTCTTGTGGGGCGGTTACTTTATCTGACGTTCACCGTCCTGATATCTAGTGCGCGGTCAATATTCTAAGTAAGGTAGTTCATGCGGCCACTCAGGCTCACGTTGATGCTTCTGTACCCCTGTTGCGTTACTTGATGCAATCTCCTGGTCGTGGTCTTTTCTTCCCAGCTCAGAATCTTCTCTGTCTCGAGGCTTATTGTGATGTTGATTGGGGTGGTTGTCCTACCACTCATCGCTCTACTACCGGATATTTCATTAGTCTTGTCGGTGCCCCCGTCTCTTGGCGCACCAAGAAATAGTTTGTCGTTTCACGGTCATCTGTTGAGGCTGAGTATCAAGCCATGGTTACCACTGTCAGTGAGGTGATTTGGCTCTGTTGGTTACTCTCTAAGCTTGGCCATCCTTCCACGCTTGCCACTCCACTTCATTGTGACAATCAGGTCGCCCTGCATATCTCTGCTAACCCTGTGTTTCATGAGTGTACTAAACATGTCGAGATGGATTGCTATTTTATTCGCGAATGTGTTCTCTCTGCTGCTATTGCTCCTTGCAAGATCGCCACTCATGAACAGCTAGACTTGTTCACTAAGGGCTTAAGCGTGGATCAGTTCGGTCATCTTCTTTCCAATCTCGGCATGTTAGATATTCATGCCTTCGATTGAGGGGGAGTGTTGCGATTACTTTGTATTGTGTCCCAAGTAACCGAGTCCTAGTGTGTGTAAGTTTCCTAGTTGACGTTGTAAAGGGAAACCGAGTCATTATTGTAGGGATTAGTTTTTCCCCGGTCAATATATAAGCTTAGCTTCGGGTCTCCAGTGGAAGCAATCTAGGTCACGCAGTACTCATCAATAACATCTTAGTCCGGGGAGCGGTTACGGTGATTACTATTTTGTAGTAATCACCGTGGTTACTAAGGGTAAATTGGGTATGAAAAAATAAATTATATTAATTAATTAATTTTAATAAATTACATTTTAGATAGTTACAAAAATCTATTAATTACAATTCAATCTCTTTCTCTCACTTCCGTAATCTCCAGCCAGATCTCCTTTCCATATTTTTCTCAATCTTTCTGCAAAAGAAAAAACACGAAATCACTACCAATCCATTAGACAATCACTACCATTTTAAAAAACATCAATACCATTGCAGAAAAAGAATCTATACCATTATACGAAAACTACCAATATAAACAATCTATACCATTACAAAAGTCAAATAAATACTAAAACAACCAATATCACTACTACTGTGAAATCAAAACAATACCATTGCATAAATAAATCAATACCAAAAAACTACCAATACAAACACTTTATACCATTACAAGAGTCAACCAATACCACTAAAAAGCAATACACTTACATGATAATCAATACCAATGCGGAAAAAAGAATACCATTGCGAAACAACACTACCATTACGAAAAAATTACTACCAATGCGGAAAAAACAATACCAATGCGGAAAAAAACACTACCACTACGAAAAAATCACTACCAATGCGAGAAAAAAACACTACCACTGCGAAAAAATCACTACCAATGCGAAAAAATCAGATCTAGGGTTTTTATTCATCTTACCTTTTCCAGCCACAGCCGTCTCCCAGAGAGAGAGGGAGAGGGAGAGAGAGAGAGAGAGAGAGAGAGGGCAGCGGTGGGCGAGAACGACACCATCGCCGGTCCGCCGATTAAAGACTGGAGACGACGACACGCAATATGGGTGCACGGAAGAAGCTTCTCCCCACCGGTGAGAGGTTCTTGAGAGCGGCGCTGATGGAAAAAACGAAAAGGAAAGGGGAAAAGAGAATACGGAAAGGCCACTAATTTAGCCCCACAATAATGGCGTGAGTGAGAGAATGGATCGTCTGGCTCCCACCCGAAAATAACCTTCATCAATATGGACCCTCGGATTGTATTATCTAAATCTTAATGATCAATAGCCAAGTAGCCACAGTGATTACTTAAAAGTTAGTAATCAGGCTAACGCATTTCTCTTAGTCCGCGAGCACGTTTCGAACTCACTGTTGATTAATCTTGTTTGGGGATACCACGTAAATGTTGTCTCTGCGATTCTTTGTTTCCGCGTTACCCGAATTCTACAGGGCCCCAAACGATAAACCAACTTGCATTATCAATGGGACAGAATTACATAGCAAAAGCAAAGAAAAAAAAAGAAATCCAAAAGGATCACAGGGTTACGCCCGCGGGCATTAATAAATATTCAGAAGCCAAAGTTAGGAGCATGGTAATGATGATCGTGATGAAGCACAGGGAGCAACAGCGATTTGATTTCCTCATCCCCTTGTTCATCGTCATCTTCTTGGGCTTGAGCAGCGAATGTGGTGGTAGTACTAGTTGCAGTTGCAGGAGGAGCAGTATGAGCAGGTGGGGATGGATTACTACTAGTGGCATGATCAAAGTAGTGTTGGGTCCGCTTCTTCTTGTTCTTGTAATTGGCCTTGAAGCAAGCTTGCCTGAGCCTCTTGGTTTTCCTCTGGAGCTGCAGGTCGGGACACTCTTCGAGTAGCTTCTGCTCCTTCTCCAGGACCCTTATGGCTTCCTTCAATCTCGCGGATCTGCTGCTGTCGCTGTCGTCGTCATCGGCTTGTAGGTGGCGAACATTGGAGATGAGGGTCTGGAGGCTCATGAGCTTGCGGTGGGGCCACCGCTTGAGGCCCAGCTCCCTGCATCTCTTCTTGAGCAGCGTCAGCCCCACGTTGAGCTCCCTCGCCGCCTGCGTTATGGGCATGTAGAAATATTTGGACACCGATTCCCTCGTCAGCGCGTTAGTAGCCGTCGCCGCCTTGTCTCCCGTAGGCACAAGTAGAGCAGGGGAGTGGTGGGTTGAGGTGTTGTTGCTGCGAGGCTGAATGGAAGGCTCAGGCTCAGGCTCAGGCTCAGGAAGGAGTGGGCCCAATTCGTTCCAGAACCCGGCCTCATCATCATCATCATCTGTAGCAGTGGTAGTGAAAGTGAAATATTGGTAGGAAGAGGAGGATGGTGATGATGATGATGATGCAACGTTGATGATGTCACTGTGGCCATAGTGATCACACTGGTAGGCGTAGTGATCATCGTCGACATAGCTACTATATTCATCAACACCACCGATTTCGGGCGGGAACATTGGAAGGCAGTAGCACTGCAGATCAAAGTAGCCGCCACCATCACCCCCGGGGCCGGACCCTCCAGTACTGCAACTGCTACTGCTACATTAAATCAGTCCGTACGTACGTTATATTAAATACCGACGTGCGTGTTCAGCAAGAAAAACAATGTGATGTGAAGAGTGAAGGACTCACTTGAAAGAAGCAGGTGGGTGGAGATGATCCAAGAGTAATCCTCCTCCTCCTCCTCCTCCTGGTGGTGGTGGTGGTGGATGAGATTGGCTGTAGCACTCTTGGCCTCGTACCACTTCTTCTTGCTTCATCAGCTTGTTGGCCTGCTGCTGCTGCTGCTGATCATCGAGCCTTGTTGAGGACATGATTCTGGTACGTACTGTGGTGTTTCTTTGGGGTTTATTGGTTGTTGAAGATGAGGAGAAACATCAGGGGTTTCTTTGGGGTACTTGTTGTATTGCATTTGCATATATAGAGACAATCGAGATGACGGAAGGAAGGAAGGAAATCATATGCGTGATGAGTTTCCTTTCTCCTTCATTAATGGTTGAGAGAGAGAGAGAGAGAGAGAGAGAGAGAGAGTGGAGTTATGCAATGTTAGGCTAGCTACACTTTCACATTCCATTAGGATGGAGAGTGATGAATAGATTAGATAGGGATCATCAGGGCTCCTCCTCGTAGCCCATACTTACTGAATCTAATTATTACTGCGTGGCGCTATGCATTGAAAAGCTAATTAATGGATCTGCTTAATTATCACACGGATAAAAACGAGGGTTCTGGATTGGAGATTGTGCGCCGGCACCCGCCCCCATTATCTAATCTAAATAAATGTATTATATCCAAACTAATATTTATCCCCTAAATAATGGCTTTCTTTCTGGGCTTAATTATATCTATCTATTTATACTAAATATTGAATGAATTACTTAATGACTAGTGCAATGCAACTGTAACTGCCCCCCATGCATGCATTAATACATCCCAATAATCACTCATGTTAATTCTCCCTCCACTTAATTACATCACCAATCTCTATTAATCTCATTCTCTCTCTCTCTCTCTCTCTCTGCAAATCATTCGCCGGCCGGTTTGTGCAACCGATCCATCAATAACGCCACTCCCACTCATTTAAGCGCAGTTAATTATATCGTCATCAAGAGATAAATCAATTAGTATTTACTCCACCGTCGCTGCTCGCCTCCATTTGATTTGAAACCGCTACCATCAACATGAATCCAATCTCTGACATACTTTCGGAATATAAAAAATTGGAATAGGTTAGGGTGATTACTCAATTTTGAGTAATCACGGTGGCTACCAACATCTATACCATTCATTATCTTTATTTTATTATAATTTTAAATTAATGATTAGGATTAGCTAAGGGTAATTTAGGAAATGAAAAACATACCACACCTGATTACTGTATATATTTGACTCAAACCCTAATACCTAGCCGTCGTCTCCTCCCTCCTCTCCCTGTCGCTCCCGCTCTCGATCAACCCCCGCCTCGTCGGCTCTGCCTTCCCGGCCGACTCCGAGGCCATCCTTTCTTCCTTCTTCTCCTCCACCCACACCTCTGACCAACCCCCGATTCCGTCCCACTGCCTCGCCGTCCGCCACAACCCTCACCCCCGATCCCGTCCCACCTCACAGCGGCTCCCACTGCTCCCACCTCACAGCGGCTCCCACTTCCCCTCTTTCTGATTTGGGGTTTTTCTTGATTTCAATTTTCCCGGCTGCCAAACAATAGCCGGGCCGGTGGGAAGGATTGTTTGGTTAACGCCAAGGTGATTTCAAATGGTAGTCATTTTTTAAATGGTAGTCATTTTTTCCGTAGTGGTAGTGTTATTGTCGTATTGGTATAGTTTTTGTCGCATTGGTATTGATTTTGTCGCATTGGTATTGATTTTGTTACATTGGTATCGATTTTGTCGCATTGGTAGTGATTAAATCTGCAATGGTATTGATGTTTTGCGAAATGGTAGTGTTTTTATTTCTTGAATGGTATTGATGTTTTGTGAAATGGTAGTGTTTTTATTTCTCGAATGGTAGTTTTCGTTTAATGGTATAAATTTATTTCTGCAATGGTAGTTTTCGTGTAATGGTATAGATTTTTTTCTGCAATGGTATTGATATTTTTCAAAGTAGTAGTGTTTGTCTAATGGATTGGTACTGATTTCGGTTTTTTTTTTTGGCAGAAAGATTGAGAAAAATATGGAAAGGAAATCTGGCTGGAGATTACGGAAGTGAGAGAAAGAGAGATTTTTAATTAATAGATTTTTGTAACTGCCTTAAATGTAATTTATTAAAAAATTAATTAATATAATTTATTTTTCCATACCCAATTTACCCTTAGTAACCACAGTGATTACTATAAAAAAGTACTCACCGTAACCGCTCCCTAAAAAATTGTGCTCCACGATCATAAAAATGAAACAACTTATGCCAATTGTTTTATTAATTCCGGTAATAAAAACAAGACACAATAGCATATAATAAAAGCTAAGCATTGTGAACAAAAATTGGAGAAGGGGAGACTAGAGTCTATAGCAACTGAAGCATCGAGAATGGGAGAAAAAATGGGCGAGTTCCCAATTGCCGTTTTTCGGTTCATGTGCGGATATGCATGGGGCCAAGTTGTTTCTGTCTGCGTCCCGAAAAGGTTAATGATTTGGTGTTCTATAGATCCTAGAGCAGGGTTTCAGCCCAATGATTTTGATTTATATATATTGCCACCCTGACCCCTCTATAATATATATGCCTCCTTTCTTCTACTTGTTTGTAGGTAGCCCTATTTCTGGATCTTGTCACTTGTTCTTTCCAACCTTGCTATTTGTCGCTCATTACTCGCGATGATTACTACTCTATAATATACAGGAAAAAACGGGAAAGCATGCAAATCCAAAGAGCTACTTGTAATATCCTTGCGCTTTTTATAAAATAATGTTTCTGCCAATGTTAATTGGATTTGAAATTATTAACGAATTTTTTTTTTTTAGAAATGAAAATGTGGTGATGAATTTGAATCATCATGTATTTGAAAATTTTGTTTTATATGTTAGATGTAATTATGTTTAATAGATTGGATTTATGTAGGTCGATATATAGCCTATATGCGGATCCATTAATTGGTTTAGGTCATATAACAGTAATTATAATTCTCTAAAAAATGCTTAGGGGAACCCATTCTATATGTTGATCTACAAAATTGGATCTTGTAATGGGAAAGAAGAGATCTAATGGTTTAAGTTCATTATAAAAGTAACGAGAAAAATAACGTATTTTAATTTGAAGATAGTTAGCGGATATTTTGGGACTTGCACAGATTTTCAGGCGTGTTGTTAAAGTTTTTTTCAAATCGTATATGAAATTTCAATAGATCATATATCATTCGTTTTACATCATGTTTAAAAATTAATGCTTAGAAAATCAAATTTTTATGCTCTACAAGATGATATCTTTTTTTTATGAAAGGGTAGTATTCTATTATCATAAAAAACCAATGTACTTTGTGGCAACACCCCTTGCCACTAGGGAAAGAGAGCAAAAGATGATCTATTCTCTACATACTACTAATGCTATGCGTAATCTGCCAAGAAGAAGAGCCATAGAGACTAACCAAACTCATATAAACACAGCAACTACTGCATCATCATAAAGAATTACCACTTCATCATTAATCTGTTTAAGAGAAACATCCAAACTCAACACAGTTCCGCTTAGACTTGGCAAATTGCAACCCGACCCCTTGACCCGACCCGAAATCACCCGAAAATTAGATATTTTTGTAACCCGAAATCCGAATGACCCGAACCCAATAACCCGTGATTTTTTGGGTCGGGTTGGGTGGGTTAGCGGGTCGACCCGTTAGACCCGTTCCATTTTATATATCACTCCCAAAATGATAAAATCACTCATAAATTGGTGAGATGTTAAAAAAAATCACAAGGATTTGAATGACATGTTTTAGAGTTTAAGGATAATCAAATATCATGTGTTTCTTGTAGTAGTATTACTCTTGTGATTGTTTTTTGACTCATAAATTGGTGAGATGTTAAAAAAAATCACAAGGATTTGAATGACATGTTTTAGAGTTTAAGGATAATCAAATATCATGTGTTTCTTGTAGTAGTATTACTCTTGTGATTGTTTTTTGACGATTTATGCAATTTGTATTTCATTTCATTAGCGTGGGAGGATTTGAGTATATGTAAATGGACATGTGTTAGGTAAACTATTGTCATGCATATGTGAACATTTGTGTCCTGTAAGAAAATATGAAGCATGTTTGATATTGTTTCTGAGAACGCTCATAACCCGAAATGACACACTTCTTAACTTGCCTGTGATATACTCTTCTGTTATTGATTGTTTGGATATCATCAAAAAGGTGGCAAAAGGTGAAGCAAAGGGTGAAGCATCTGTCACACTGTTATGCATCCAAAGTTTTGATTTTGCATTCATCTTGCATATGATGATTAAATTGTTAGCAATTACTAATGAGTTATCTAAATCATTGCAAAGGGAAGATCAAGATATAATGAATGTCATGCAGCTTGTTCGTGGAGCAAAGCTTAGATTACAGGATTTGAGAGATAGAGGATGGGAGTCTCTTCTTGATAGTGTGATTTCTTTTTGCAAGAAGGAATATCTTCCCATTTCCAACATGGATGAGTTATACATTCTTTCTGCAAGGCCAAGGAGAAATGCTCAACAAATCACCAATCAACATCATTACAAGATTGAGTTATTCTATACAGTGGTGAATATGCAGTTACAAGAGCTTAAAAGTTGTTTTGATGAGGTGAACACTGAATTGCTATGTTGTGTGGCTTGCCTAAATCTGGATGATGCATTTGTTGACTTTGACAAGGAAAAGCTGTTGAAGCTTGCTACCTTCTATCTCAATGAATTCTCTATTGATGATATCTAATATCTTGATCCTCAGCTAGATAGTTATATCTTTGATGTAGGGATGGCAATTTCGACCTCGCCCGTTTAACCCGACCTGTTTAACCTGCTTTGGGGCGGGTCGGCGGGGCGGGGCGGGCATGGGTAGTCTCATCGACCCGACCTGCCCTGACCCGCCCCATTCTCGACCCGTTCTTGTCTAAATTACATGTAATCTTAGTCAAATTACTTAGAATTTTCCTTTTATTACATCATATTTTAGCTATAATAAAGTTGTAAATTAGTAAAAACCTCAATTTCTCCAATAATTTAACTACAATTGTCATAATATTGTTTGTTTTCTTAGTCTTATAATAAAAATAACGAATATTTCTAATGTTTTCATATAAATTGCATACCCATTCGGTCGACCTAACCCAACCCGCGACCCATGATCAATTACCCGACCTGGCCCCTACCTGCTACGGGGCGGATCTGGGTACCAAGAAACCCGCCCCGGACCTGCCCATTGCCATTCCTACTTTGATGTGAAGATGAATACGAGGTTCACTAAGTTGAAGGGAATTGCTGAGCGTTGTAGGGAAATAGTTGTGTCAAAGAAGTTTCGACCGTTTCCGCTAGTGTATCAACTTGTGAAATTGGTGTTGTTGTTACCAGTTACCACCGCAAGTGTTGAAAGAGTTTTTACGGCAATGAACTACGTGAAGAACACACTACAAAGTCGAATGAGTAATAAAGGGTTGAATGATTTTTTGGTAGGATATGTTGAGAGTGACATCTTAGATAGGTTGGATGATGTTTGTATTTTACAAACTTTCCAAGATTTGAAAACACATCTTTGATCATTGTAAAGATTAATTAAGTTTATTTTTTTTATATATTTTCATTTCGGATCAACCTTTAGCGAAATCCTGGCTAAAAGGGTAGCTAGCTGCCCAAAGAGGACCGGCAACTAGGGCTGTCCATTTGGTTTTGGTTTTTTGATTTTAACCGAAACCAAACCAATTGGAAAGCTAATGGTTTCAGTTTTTTGGTTTTAAACCAATAAGCAACTTAATGGTTTTGGTTTGGTTAAAACCGAAAAACCAATAGAAACCATTAAGAAACCAATAAAAATAAAATTATTTATCAACAAATATATTTTTTGTTTGTTTCTTTTGACACGCATGCCAACCAATAATTTGTTATGGCCATTTACCATTATTATGACGTTTATTCAATAAAAAGAAGGGAAATAGAAATAAATATATGTATGATTACATGTTGGTTTTTCGGTTATCCAAACTAAAACCAAAACCATTAAGGCCCTTATTGGTTTTTGGCAACCAAAAACCAATAAGGGCCTTAATGGTTTTGATTTTGGTTTTTGCGATTTGGTTTTTGGTTTTAGGTTTTTCATACTTAATGGTTTGGTTAACCAAACCAAATTGACAGCCCTACCGGCAACTCAACCCAGGTCAAGTTTTTGCTCCTTTGCTTTCCAGCGGCAAAGGATGTAGCAAAGAGATGGATAAGCATTCCCTACGAAACAAACTTGCTAGACTTAACTTTTTAGGACCAACTGCTCGCTACTAACAGTAAATAGTAGAAACATACATAGCAATGCAGTTTCAAACAAGACCACCGTCGAATAGACATGAAAACCAGCAACAACCTTTAATGAATATCAACTTCAAGCTAACACAACGTTCGCAAATAGCATATAATGTTTCTCTAGATATATATATATGGAAGAGCTTCCAAAATGCTGCTGTTAGTACCAAAACAAACTACCTGACCAGCTCTGCAACGAGGGGGGGAAAAGTATAACTGAAGCCTTCAAACCAAGGTAAATCAGAGAAGACGATTTAAGTTTTGCTGGTTCTTGATTTACCACTTCCTCCCACGCCCGCGGCCTCGACCACGTCCACCTCTTCCTCCACCACCACCTCTGCCTCCGTGACCTTTACCACCATTACCACCACCATGTCCTTTCAATTCCTCCGGCAAAGGAAGAATGTTGTCAACACACTTCCTGAAGCTGAAATCCTCCACAGAACCATCTTCCCTAACGAGGAAGAAGCACTGACTCTTCCACATCGGGTGATCACGAATTTGAAAAGATCGGACCCCAGAACCAATCTTTTCCTCCGACTCTTGATGGCCCTTCTTCAGCAAATCCACCAAAACCAAATGCTCATACTACAATTGCACCAAGAAACAAACGGCATAAAAACATAATCCAAACTGAAAAACATAATCCATCAATCGACCCAGAAACTGAATAACTATAAAGGTTAACAGAATAAAAAGTTTCAAGGTACGCATCTAAACATGACAGCACAGTTAACGAATCCACCGATCCGAGATTAAAACCACTCTCAAAATAAATCTTGTCAGGACAAAGAAACATCTGAATCCAGATACAGTATTTAAGGTACGAGGCAGGCATACACACCCAGTTTGCAGAGCACTTTAAGGCACAAATAAACTTTGTTGAAGACTAAACATTCTAGATCAGGAACCGCAGTCCATAACCAAGAAATAACAAATGGACTACCCAAAGAGGTCACCGCACCCAACCGCAACATCAAAATGCTAGGGTAGGTAATTAACACCAGAAAATTGCCCATTGATTAAGTCAGTTTCTGAATACTAACACACACCAGGGAATGTATCAACCAACAAACTAAACAATTAAGTTTAATTGAATAGCTTTCTGGAGTACTCAACTTCACTGCCAAGTGACTGAGTAATCAACATATTTGCTTTGAAGACGCCATCCCAACCATGCCGTCACGTACAAATTAACTGGGCAGAGGAGTTATATAAATGTTGGGAAGTTTTATAACTCGCAGAAAAGAACAGTCAAAAGCAAACAAACAATGATCACATCCGCCAACATTTGTCTAAAGGATCAACGAAGTTCTGACATAGTAGGCAAATCAAATAAAGAGCGAAGGGCACCCAAAACTTGGTAAAGGAAATACCTTGTTCAAATCCAATTTACTTGGCCATGCGTGAAGCAACTTGAAGAAGTAATCAAACATCTGAGTAGATGTCCCGAACTTCTTCGGACCCAAGCTGACAACCACTTCCACAGAAGACTCTCCCCCAACTTTTTCTTCCCCTTCTCCGGCTCCGTCATTTGCTCCATCTGCGGACTCCTCCACCTTCTGCTTCTTGGTGGCATCGCCGTTCGCACCTTCCTGCTCCTCCCTGGCTCGCTTCCCTCCTTCTGCCGCTTCAGAAATCTCCATGACCTCCATGTCTACGCCAGCTGAGACGACTGGCTCTGGATTGTTTACAGCCGCCTCGGTTGCTGTTCCTTCCGCCATGATTGAAAAAAGAAGAGAGGAGAAGGGGGCGGCCTTTGAACAGTAACAGTTCGTAGTTGAAGAAGATGGGAGAAGAATGGAGTGGAGGACGGAGGGTTTCGGAGGGTTTTTCAATTGTTTCTGGAGCTCGGAGCGGGTATCAGTTCTGATTTTGGACCCAGCATTCTGTCTCCGTACTGGTATTCGAATCCAATGTGGATTTGGGCTTGTTACTCAAAACTGCCTGAGTTCAACTTTTAGCCCATGAACTGGCTAGGTTTGGCAAGTTCAAAATGGCAAAATAAGGATTGGCCTTTTACTCTTCTTAAGCCGTTGAATTGGGACAAAATCAAGTGATTTTTTTTATAGGACAAATTCAAGTGATTAAGGAGATGCTTTATATGGAATCTGATATTTTTTTATTATGAAGATGTGGTAGAGGCTTAGCTTATCAACAAAGAAAATTGGAGTTCTATAACTACTGGGAACTCCCAGTTCGCTTCATTTTGCCATGATATGCGCTACTACATTCACTTGTCTTCTCACATGTTGCTAGAATCTGGTTCTAGATGCAGCTAGAAGATGTCTAATACTATGACAAATAGTGTCCAGCTCAACATGGATATTCTTTGCCTCTTTCAACTTTTTCACGAGGCTGAGGCAGTTCATTTTTAACATCACATTCGAGTATTGAAATTGCCTTACCAGCCTTAATCCAAACTTGGCCACTAGAGCCCCAACTGTCTCCACACCTAATCCCCTTGCATCTTCTATGTTGCAGCTATCAAAAACTCCCATAAGCATTCTGAATCACTACCCCAATTCGACTCCACCCCCTACAAGATCCTTGTGTCGGTATTCACTTTAATCGTACCAAACCTTGAACGTTTCCAGCTAAGATAGGTTGCCTCAGCTTCCGGCAAGACTCCACGATGTTGGTTCAATTTATAATCTTAAAGAGAGCATTAAGCTCTTGAGATAATAGAAATAGTGTGCATTCCGTTCCTTCCAAATGTGCCACATAAGCACACATCATTCTTCACATACATGATCTTCTGACGTTTGGAACACCTATATAACCTATTCCAGGAAACTTCTCCCCTCTTACTTCTGAAAGAAACTTGCAATACTATATTGGTGCCATAATATGCATGTCTGGCAACACTCCCAAATAGATGGTTTTGAGTCTATCTAATTGCACAAAAAGGGAACTTATCACCTATTTTCTTGCTCTTGCTACTAAGGTGATATCCGGTAGCCAGCGCATCTCTTGAAAATCTGCACATAAAGTTTCGAACCTTTGGCGAGATTTCCATTGACCAAAGCTTGTTCCGCATTGAAGCTTCTCCTCCTATCCCAACGTTCTCTCTAACTTTGAAACTTTTAAGCCAATGGAGGTATTCGTCTCAGACTATACACTCTTGTTATGCTGTTACCTGATTCGGGTCCAAATGTACACATTTTACCCCTCATTTCTTGTCTGTTATGCTTAGTAGATCACCGTTCCTCGACCTATTTTACGCTAGTTTGTGCTTGTTTTGTTACATTTCAGGTCCTAGCACGTGTGGGAAGGTCTGGGATAAGTTTCGTGTCATTCGGAGGTCAAACGAGCCATAAAGTGGAGACTGAGCCTTGTTCACGCCCTGGAGCTTCAGTTCACGGTCACTAAAACCGTGAAATGAAAGCCTAGACCGTGAAGTGGCCAATTTCCAAAATGGTTCTAGAGGTTACTGGCAAGAGGCTAGTTCACGGTCTCTAAGACTGTGAACTGAAAGCCCAACCCGTGAAGTCGTCAGTACATTGTCTCTAAGACCGTGAACTGATCAACGCGTCCTTGAACTGATGTCTAAGACAGTGAACTGATCAACACGATCGTAAACTGAAGCCTAAGACCTTGAACTGATCAACACGATCGTGAACTAAAGCCTAAGATCTTGAATAGATCATGATCTGGGTATAAAAGGAGTAGGGAGCTGAAGGAGAAGGAGAAGGGGGAGCTTTTAGTAGGTTTTTAGTGGGTAGAATAAAAGGGGGTTTCTAGTGAGAGATTAGGGTTTCCTCTTCCTATTCTAGAGAGAGAGTTCCATTCAAAGGAGGAAGAAGGAGATTTGGGCTGGCCCTAAGCTAAAGGAGTGAAGATTCTTACCTCTCAAGGGAGATTCAAGTAAGGAGGAACAAAGATTGTCATCTCTTCATGGTTCTTTCTCTCCTCTTTCTTGTTTTTCTTTGCCTAGCTATGGAATATCCTACCTATTCACTTGGGTGTTGTAAACCCTAGCTACAATTATGTGAATGCTTGTATGAATTGAATGATTTGTGTGTGGTTGTGTTTAGTGTGAATGTGGAGGTATTTTTCATGGTGATTGTGCGTGCTATGTTGACCTAGCTTAGAGAGGAGACCTCCTTAGGTTAAGAGACTCAATTAGAGATGGGTGTTTTTGGGCATTGTGCCTCCTAGGCTAGTTTAGAGAGGAAACTTCCTTTATCCAAAGAGACTCAATTTGAGATGGGTTTCCTTGGGCATTCAAGGCCTCCGGGACTAGTTTAGAGAGAACCCTCCCTAACCTAAGAGGCTCTATTAGAGATGGGTTTCCTTGGGAATTTCATGCCTCCTATTCTAGGTTAATTAAGGGCAAACCTTCTATTTTGTATTAGCATTTAGGGTTTGGTTGTGGGTGGCCGTCTGAACTCCAATTCGAGGGTGAAGTCTAACCATTCCTTAGTCGATAGGTCGAGAGGGTCGCATTAGTGGATTGGATCATATCCCATTTCCGCAACCTAGAGACTAAGAGGGTAGCCTTGGCTACTTGTTAGACTTCCCTGTGGTTTATAACCCCTTAACTACACACGGTCGTTCAATTCTTGAAGTCGTAATTGTTAGCTAGGGGGAGCAACACCCGGGTGAACTCTTCTCTCATTGGGACGACCTCGATTTACTTTACTTGCTTGTTTTTATTTGTAGTTTTCTTAGTTTGAAACCCAAAATCGTTTTGCTAGACAACAACTTAAGCGATTGAAGTAGGGGTACATGGATCGGCCCAGGTTTGACGATTAAATACTTGCCCTATACTGCACCCGACTAGAGTTTAAAAACTTGGGCTGTAGTCGGGATTGATTCGCAGTGTAGTTCCGTGTGATTCAAGTTTTTGGCGGCGTTGCCGGGGAATCGCGGTCCATTATTTTGAAAAGGTCGCTTAGTATTACTCTAGCATTTCCTATCTTGTCTTTTTGTTTGTGTTTTGTGTTTCGTGTGTGTTTTGTTTACCACTCTTCATCTTGAAGGGTAGTTTGTGTGTGTTTGATTGTCCTTTTTAGTGTTTTTGTGTTTGTAGGTATTGGATCATGGATCCTTATGATTTCGCCCAAGTGTGGGGGTATCCACCAACACTCGAGAGTGGTTACCCCGAAACTTCATGGGACGATCAAGAAGGGGGAAGTCAAGGATCTGGATTCTACTACTAACCTCCCTTCCAAGAAGAGCAACCATGCTCATGGGGATACCAAGAAGCTTCCCCATATCAAGAAGGCTTCCCTCCACAACTCGAGGTGATATCCAAGTTGGAGTTGGCCATGGAGGCTTTCATAGGACAAACCTCAAGACCATGTGTCACTCCACAACCAGAGCCAAAGAGAAAATTAGAGCTCATGGTGGAGCGATTCGCCCGGGCACCGATGTAAGGTGCTATAGCAAGGACCTCTCAATTGCCAACCATTTCTACTCAACCTTTCTTCGGGAATCAGAGGAGCTCCTTCGACACACGGAGAGGCTAGGAGGGCTTGTTGAGCAAGCATGTGCACAACTTGCCACAATCGCTCCTACCATTAGAAGAAGGAAGGGAGGTCGAAGAGGCAAGCCATGAGAACTTTGGAAGAATGAGCTCCGGCATGGATTTCCAACCCCTCCCTCCACCCAATTTGACACTTGAAGAGAAGGTGGCACGAGCTTGTGCAAGCTATCGCCTCTCACCATTGAAGGAGAAATAGGAGGTCGAAGGAGCGATCAATGAAAACCGCGTGGATCAAGACGAACTCACCCCGGAGGGCTCCCATGGTGAGTATGCACAAGAGGGTTGCATTGATGACTTTCACACCATTCCCAAGAGAAACTTTGATGACCAAGTCACAAGTGTGGAGGAGCAAGAGAATCCTTTTTATGATCTTGCATGGCATCTTGCCCTCCAAACCGTGCTTGAGGGCATGAATGGGAAGGAGAAGGAAGAGGTTGAAGGGGAGGAAGAAAACATTGAAAAAGGGGAAGATCTTGATTGTTACCAAAAGGAGGAAAGTGAAGAAGAAGGAAGGGAGGTTGAGGAAGAAGAAGAAGGAGCAAGTGGTGTCCAAGATGTGGACGAGGTCGGGGTGGATGAAGCATCCACGAGTTAAAAATGCTACCAATGCTTTCTACCCGACCTTGACGCGCTTTTGGAGAATGACCCATTTGCGGCTCTTTGCCAAGCCAAGGCCAAACCATCGGCGATCCCTCTTTGTGGATGCGATGGAAGTCAATCAATGATGGACTACATGGTGTGGGGCAAAGAGAAAGAAGAAGAAGAGGTCTCATGGGTGGAGCCATATGACAACTCAAGTTCACGAGCCCTCAATTAGGGATTCGTCCAAAGTTCGTGACTTGAGACTTCATCCGGGTCACGACGTTAAAGAAGCGCTTGGTGGGAGGCAACCAACCATCAATGGTTTGTATCTCTTTTTTTTTCAATAAGACGACTAAAGGAGATCTTTTGGTGGTGTTTTGCCGTCTCCTTGCTGTTCTGGATCTCACCCGGCCTCCGCTCTGAACACCAACATTCACCACTACCCGGTAACATCGTTCTACTTCCCTATTTTAAGCCATTGAGGGCAATGTCGAGCTTAAGTATGGGGAGGGGGGACAGTCCATTATGCGCACGCGCGCGCGTGTGTGTGTGTGTGTGAATGTTTGGTGTGATTTTAAATGCTTGGAGCCTAGTTGTATGCCCAAAATTTTAAAATTTGAAGGCTCCAAGCATAACAACTTCTACATTTGCATGATTGTAGTGGCACTTAAGTTGTTTTGTTTTGAATCTTGTGGTTATTAGCATTGTCTATGGATGATTTGCTTGTGATTATGTGCAACTTATGATGACGATTGAGACTTGTATTAGGTTTGTGCATAGGTTCATT